AAACCCACATGCACAATTGCACATACACTGATTTAATGATAAGCTTGCACAACATAACTCAAATGTAATTCACCCAAAGAACAAAAATCAAATCAAATCTCTTGCATGCTATAGTTGAGTGGACTATTCTGCGAACACAATGTTTCACCCCTAAATTACTGTGTACGTGAAAGGGGGATTCGAACTTAAGTGCAAGAGGATGCGCTCATTACCCTGGCCGACTGGAGTAACCCACAATTGTGCCAAATTATATTAAGGTTTATAATAATGAACAAGAAAAGAGAAATTAAATTCATAGATAAACCAACAGAAAACATATAAATAAGTAAGCTTTGAGTTGACGTACATGCTGACAACGTGGCAAAACCCGTCGGGATAGGAACAGTTGCATTCGAGGGTCTTGTTGTAGATAGGGTGCAGTAGAGGTTAGGGTATCCCAGTTGGTGTAATTGAAGCATGGGTTTATGTTGAAGTGCCAGTCCGTTTTCCCCAGCTGTTTTGCTATTTCTTTTAGTGCTTCCTCTGCGCAACCAAATCAAACCCATGATCATATAATTGAACATTTTCCACCATAATCAACTCAAATAGCATTGATTAGATCCTGTTTGTTTAATTAACCCAGGATTATCAAAGATGATATCCAAACAATTTGTGACGTATGGTAATACCAACTAGGAGGTCATATTGATTTAAATTTGTGACATGGTTAGAAGTTCGAATTTCTCACCTCGCACATTGATTTTTTTTATTTATAATAAAGATGAGGTAATATTGGATATAGGCCTTCAATTATGAGTGCGTAGGCCTGATTGACCAAAAATATTATGAGTGCATAGGCCTGATAGTGGGCCAACTTGGGCTGGTGCCAAAAAAGTAACCAGGTTTATTTTTGGGAGTTTCACTAAAACACCCAAAATGGGGGTTGAAATTATAAAAAAACCCAAGCACTATTAAAACATTATTTAAACATATAAACACACCCAAAACTCATCATTACACACACTCAAAACCCATTTATAAACACACCCAAAAAGTTGACTTTGTGGTTGATTTTGGGTGTGTTTCTATGTTTAAATAGTGCTTGGGTTTTTTTATAAATACATGTCTAGGATTGGGTTTATTTATAAATTTGTATTTATTTTTCATTTTTAAAGCAAAGTAGGGTGGCTGGGCTTGGGCCTTCTACCACCCACCATTCTAACCTAGAAAACCTCTCTAGAAGATACAGATCATGCTCTGTATCTCTCTCAGTCATTGAATTTCATATCCATTTCCACTTGTAATGATGAAAACAAGTTCGTTCTTTTTTTAAATCTTTTTTGTAAATTTATATCTAATCTAACCAACATGTAAAATTATACTGACAAACATTGAACTGGGAGTGCTCTAACACATTAACACTAGAAAGGCTAAAATCTTCTACCAATTTTCAATCAAAAAGAACGACGTTTGCATTGAGCACTCTGTCCTATGCTGTTTAACACAACTCAAAAAAAATACCCCAGGCTTCATTTTTTCCAAAACAGAAACAAAAACTGAGGCTTTAGTGCATAGATTTTGAGCATCAGTAATACCAACTTGAAAAAACATTCAGGAGAAGAAGAAGAGATTGTGCTTCAACTTTGACTGTGGATATGCAGAAGCAGAGGACCAACATGGCTACCAAAATGACAAGGTCCATGGTGGCTTTTGAAACATCAAAATGAAATCTTGCCATATCAATCCCTGATGTAATATATCAATTCCCTGATATCTGTATCATCCTTATTCTTTCTTATGAGCCAAACAAAGTTGTCAATTTTGTTTGGCAGATTCGATTACATTATTGTCGAGGGAGGTGTTTTGCTTTTTTTTACTGTGAAAATTTTTTCATTTCCTTTTGGAGGATTTTTATGTCGGGGCCCATGAAAAGTTTTTCGAATCTTTTTTTGGCACGTGAGATTTAACAACATGGACATTGGACCCTTTGATTATTTTAAAAGGCTTTATATCACAAAACATCTTTAAGTTCCAAAAACTATCATTTTTTTTTTTTGGGTGTCATTTGTGGTCCTTAAGGTTAATATGAGTGCTCACATGCCGTCAGTTTTCATAAATAAATAAAAAAAAAAACTCCATTAATTTGTTGATGTGGCATATACGTGGAGTCCACATATCTAATAATATAATGTCACATGTATCTAAAATACAATATACATTTTTAAATAATCTAAAATTTAAAATTAATAAAAATGAAAAATGAAAAAACCAAAAGAAAAGTTGTATTTTAAAATTTAAATTATTTTTAACAAAAATATATTGTCTTTTAAATACATGTGGCACTGTATTATTAGATACGTGGGCTCTGCATATATGCCACATCAGCAAACCAACGGAGTTTTTGACAGAAGGACTATTTGTGAGCACACATATTAATCTTAAGGACCACAAATGACACAAAAAAACAAGGACAGAATCTGATAGTTTTGTGTACCTAGGGGATGTTTTGTGATAAAAAACATATTCTAAAATCTGACTTTCCTAGTGATTATTATTAATAGATGAGTATTTGAATTATTCCCTTATGTTGCATTTACTAACACTGCCCAGC